GAGCAACTAGCAGGAAGAGTAATGTTGGTGGCAACAGTTTCCATGTGGGAAGTCTCTCTCCCGCAAGTAACTAAGAGGAAGAGGGACTTCTGGGCACTTTCCTTGGCACTGTCTACAGAATGCCCACAATTATGTCGGAGAATCCTAAACACTGCCTGCTTGAGAGTCTGCTCTCTGGAGCCAAGTCCAGGCTAGACCTTCAACCTTGCTTCCCAGCACAGTTGACGTTCTGAAGAAGGGTAGGAGAAGTGACTCTGGGGCTTTGAGTCAGTTCATCCAGCCTATAGCCTATCAAACATTCTTCATTCCACCGACTAAAATGACTCCCCTGCAGCATTTTACCCAGGGTCTTAAGGTCCGTTTGAGCTTGCCTAGAAACACTTCCCTAGGAAGGGTGGAGGTTGCAAGGTCAGATTTGCCTCTGTGCTGATGAAACGGGTCTTAAAAAGTGGAAACAAGGATCTCTCTTTGAAACCAATAGGACAGTCTTCCACAAAACGAGTTAGCGCTTTCGGCATGGCTTACTGTACCTATTATGAGGCCCTTATTAATCCTTGGAAATTTGGGATAAACATTTGCACCAACAAATCTACACTTTGGTCACCCACCTGCGCATTCATAGTTGAAAAACCCAACAGAAATGTGAATGCAAATGCTTTTAGTTGATTTTCGAACAGATGGACATATTCTTTCACAGATTTTGTCCCATATTAACTTCTGCAATGTTGCTCCTAGAGAGGCTTCCTTGTTCAATTTCACAAGTCTAGGACAGTTAATCTGAAAGCTACATAGTAGCTAGCAGACAAGGAGTTATTGCAAATTGTGTCCTACAGCTAGCTCTACTCAGACCTAAAAATCAGCTTTGTCATGGAATCCCACACTTTCCTTCTTTTACTGTTTTCTGCATTGCTTTGTTTTCTCCTGAGAAGCCTCATCAGGACAAGGTATTGGATGCACGTGTCAATATACAATAGTGCACTGTACATTTGCCATATTTGATCTACAACAGGTCACTTTCAACAGTGCTCTTTAAACAGCTACTTATGCATTAATCATTTGAAGGGACAAATTAGGGACAAATTATAAATATGCATTTTTGAAACAGGATGTGTTATGCCACTTTACACTCTCTCTGCAGAAGAAAAGGCACACTTGTGTGTAAAGTAAAGGCTAATCTTACCTTAAGTTGGTTAATGGGTTTTGGCAGCCCCTCCCCCGCTTAAAAATTCCTGGTTTTAAGCATTAGCAACTCAAACTGAAACTCGGGGGGGGGGGGGAATAGATTGCTGTGATGTGAAGCTCAGGTTGCCAAAGCAATTGAACTGTTCGGTCGGGAAGCTGCTTTCACCTTACATCATCTTCCATTGCAAGAAGCCTGCTTGCTCTGCCCAGTTTCTCTAGGGTGAATCTTGTGTGGTGCACGCTGCTTCTGTGCAATTTTGAAGGAAGAGGAATCTTAAACACTCTTCCTTTATTCATCAGCAAACATATATACTTAGGCTAACATGCATCCTTTATTCAGTTCCAGCTACCAGAGTGAGAATATATCACTTCAGGCCTTTTAAGACTGAAATTCTGTACATGCTTATTCAGGAGTAAGTTTAAACTCAGTGAGGTTTACTCCTGAGTAGACATTATGCAACAAAGTCCCATTGAAACCAAAGCTGTATTTGGCTGTTTGAACTAGGATCTGGCCCATTTGAAATACCCAGCGATACCAAAGTTTGATTTGTATAACAAAAATTTATAATTCTTTTTTTTTTTTTGCATGTCCTATAGAATCAGAGTGACTCTCAGTAGAGAAAAGCAGGAGAGGCGGGAGAGAGATCCGATGAATGACATGTATTCTGAACAGAACCCAGATAATAATCTCCAAATCTAACTTTCAGTTCCCTCTTGTATGGATTTCACATTCCTACAAGAGAATACATTCCTACCATACATTCTGTACATGTTACAACCCAGATGTTGTTAGCTTCACAATAAAATAAATATATTTACAAAAGAAAAATAAAATGGAATAAATAACTTATGAAAAACAAAATGGAAAAAAAAATCACTTCAAATTCAAACAGCTCTTTTTAATTCTGCTCTCTTCTTGTCACTTCATTGCATGTTTTCTGTCATTAAAAATGTCCCCAGCATTCAAGATGGAATTTGGAGAGTGGGGAAAATAATAATTTGTAGTCTGGTAAGTTCTAATCCTTTATGGGGGGGGGGGGGAAGAGGTTATATTATAGAGACAGAAGTGTTTAAATTGGTATATCTGTGAGGCACTCATCATACTGGGGTATCTAATTCTATTGGGTGGATGCACTATCTGCCACAATCATACTCATTTGCATCATATAATGTTGCGTAGGACTGATTTCTGCTCAACATTTCAAATGCCTTTGCTCTGTATGGCAAGGTTAGCATTTGGAAAACAAGCCTACTGTTCTCCTCTCTAAAATGGTGTTAATTTGAACTTCTGCCCAACATGTGGTACTTGTTTACACACTCTATTACCTCGTCCAAAAAGGAAAGTATTGTTTCTGAATTACGTGTAAAATCAGATTTTGACAATGGTAAATCTTGTTTGTTTACTTTTTTCCTTGACATTTTAATTTTAATCTAAACCTAGACTGTTCCAGCAAAGGCTTGGGATGCTGCCATCCTGATTAACTGATTAAAACTAAATTGAGTGTTTTCTAGCATTGCAGATATCTGCACCCAAGATTATCCTACTTGGCTAGTAACACATCAGCAAGCATCTTATTTCATCTTTTCTACCATATCTGACTACCGTATCTAATTCTGCAAAGATCTGGACAACCAAAAGGTGGAAGCAAATAATTTGCTACAGTTTAGTGGTATTTTGGATTTCTGCAGCCCAGATTTGAAAGACCTAATCTTCTCAAATCCACAAATTCCTAATGAAATTGTAATTCAGTGTTATTTTATATCACACTGTTATTTTATATCAGCGATATTCCTAGTGATTACCAGACTAACAAAAGAGAAAAGATCTTTGTTCAGGGCATTTTGCAATCTAAATCAGTTGTTATAACATCTAATTAAATGTTTTGGATATGCCAGCTGTCTTTTTCCTCCCCATAACAGCAAGAATTGGGAAAAATATGCTTGCTTATAAAGATGTGCAACTTCAAATTATAACTATACGGTTATTTAAATGAAATAAACTTTTCAAGAAAGATAGCAAAATCTGATTAACGTATTAGGATTTAGTTGATAATTTGGCATGGCATATTTAGTGTAGGCATGCAGCACTCTAATTATCAGATAGTTTGGACACAAATGAAAAACTTTGTGTGCATTATATATAATAAATTACATGCATTTTAAATAAATATATATGGCCCATTCTAAAGTGCCAGTTTATAAAGCTGCTATCTTAAAGGCAGAAAAGACCCAATTTTTAAGAAATCCATGACAAGAAGTAAGCAGAACCAACTGAATATTGCCAAATTACATAAACATAATTTAAATTTTCTTAAATAAATATAAACGTTATTCCTAAAGAAGCCATATGCATATCAACAGTATAGTTTGTAACCTGCACTCAATTAAGTACCATTTAAAATTAATATGCCATAGCAATCTCGGCAACAGGCATGATAACATTGCAAGTTTTCTTTAACACAAATGTACATCACAATGAACAGAGAGAGAGAAAATTGCAACAGGTGCAGAAATGAGACGACTTAAGTGGGAAGGAAACATGCATAGAAGACTGCAGTTTCAATACATTGTCAAACAGGCCATTATAAAGTATAAAGCAAGGAACAGAGTTGAATCAAGAAACCAACCTCACCCCCCCAAAAAAAGATACCAAGTGTTCAAAGCACAACTAGCTCCAGTTTTAAGAGCAATGGATACTTGAGTGAGTCCATCCAGTGCTGATAAGAGATGATTTCACTGCAGTAATACTGAAGTTAGGACTTTTTTTTCAGCACTTGCCAACAGAGTGAATAAGAATATTAATGTTCCAAGCAAAGGGCAAGAATAATCATAAGAATGATTAGAAGAAATAAGGTACATTAGAATTACACTGTCACAGAGTGTAAAGGGCCTTTTCCCACTCCTGATCCTAAACTCAAGTTTCTTGGAAGGAATCTCCACTGATTTCAACACAACTTACTTTCAGGCTTTAAACGAAATAAAAACCCAAAACAATCAAACAAAACAAATCTGCTACAGCCACAGCGTGCTTCTCCTTAAAACTGGTAACTGCCTAAATTGTGACTCTCTAAAACTAGATGCCATTACTATGGTAATACCTCAAGGCAGAGTAAAGTACACCAATGCTCACCCATTTCTACTGTTTGAATCTGAACGGGGCACTCTGTCAACTACACTTACCAAAAAGTAAGCTATTTCCAAGAACACAACTTTCTCACTAGGAAAGCTGTAAAATATTAGAAGGTTGAGCTCAACAGACTTAAGGACACTCTACTCTGTCAGAGGAAGGATGGAATCTGTTTTGCAATTTTTTTAAAAAAAAGCTTGGTTTGAGGGAATATATTTTTATTTCTTGACCCTTTCGGAGCGAGGGAAGGGAGAACAAGGGAGTTTCATCAGAATAAAGTTTCACAGCTATTTCTTGCCAACTGTTTGACATCAGTGTTGGAATATACATGGCTCTAAGGTTTTTGTTAATCACAGTAGTAGGCAGCAGGGAGTAAATATCTGTGAAACTTGGTCTTTTCCTTCAAGCATGGGTTGTCTGGATTCAGGGAGGCCAGCTGCAGACTGATTTGATCCAAACTTCTCTTTGCACCATTATATGCATATAAAACACTACAAGTCTGTATAAAACTACAAGCAGTTCTTGTACATCAGAAGGTATATGCAGGAATGGGGTGAGCAAATCCTACCAAAATAACTATTTCCTTTTTTGTGTGTATGTGAGTACAAACAGCATTTTGTTTTGTTTCTTTTTTTTCTTTTTCTAAGAAAAAAACCCAATATCATAAATTGCAGAATCTATACAAAAATATAAAATAAATTTGGGTAGCAGTTTCTAAAGAGCCATGTAAATGCAACATTTAAAGAGGAATCATTAATACCTCTAAAAAGGCTGGATTGCTAAGTCAACCTAGACAGTGCTAAAATGCCAAAAAGGTACTGCAGTTATCTAAATAATATTTTAACCTCTTGCAATAAAACTTATAGAAAAAATAGACAAATATGCACATGCAATTTACAGCTTTTTCCCAACATAATCCTTGTGCTTAGCTTTTACATTTTTTGTCGAACATATTTATGCTTGAAAATATGCATTTTCTTCCTATATTAGGATTTCAGGTCTCCCTTGAGGAACCACTTTCAGAAATACATTAAAAGTGGTCATACGTGAATGAAGGCACTCCAACTCTGCTTGAAGCAAAAAAAAGTATGATCCTTTAAAAAAAAAAAAAAGACAAGCAAAGACGCATGCACAGTGATGTGTGTATTTGCGTGCGTGCATATTTGTGTGTGTCTATGTGTTTCTTGGTAGGCTTGGAAGGAGAGGGGGCCTTGTGAAAATACTACCAAGGGTTTATACTGGTGCGTTTAAAAAGTTGCTATCGATCTATGACCCAACAAGCACCTCCATAATGTGATCCAGTTCTGTAAGGTCCATCTTGAAAGGCTGATTGGGGGTTACTGGCTGGGTACTGTAGGGTGCCAGAGTTTTGAGGAGGTCATCTGCGGAGACAGGAGCCATTTTTGAGGCAGCCCCTGTAGAGGATGTGCAAGGGTCAAAATCATACATAGACGTATCAATGTCTGCAAAGAGAATATCATCCAGGGTCAAGTCTGTAAGAAAACCTGTAGAAGTTGTGATCTCAAAATTGCCAGGTAATGAATCCATGAGTTTAGGCTCACTCATTCTGTTCTCCTGTATACCCTCAGGCTTTTGAATGCTGGATTCACTGGAATTCTCCTTAGAGTTATCTGGTGCAGTTGTATCTGCTGCTGCTGCTGTAGTTACTACTGCCTCAGCGGAGGTAGGTGTTGGACAGAGTTCCTCAATTTCATCCAAGGCTGAGGAGAAGCTGTCCTTTACTGGTTGGATCGTTGGAGGTGGTAATTTTGGAGGACCATCTAGTGAGATAGTCTGAGAAGTGCAAAAAGTGTCATCCTCAAGCAGAGAGGCAGGGGTGAGGCAAGACTCCAGTGGTGTAGGGCTTGCTAAGTCAGTGGGGTGGACTGGCGGAGAGGCCAGATGGCTAAAGGCAGGCTGAGCTTCTCGAAAGTTGTCTCCAAGAGGATCTGTAGGCTGTGATGGGGTGAGGAACATAGGCCTCAAGCTGCCTTCCTGTTTGAGCTCCTCTTGGATCCGCCTCAACATGTTGTTGATTAAAACGGTCTTTTGCAGGCTTGGCTCTGTTAAGGGCCTGTGGTTATAAAGTTTCATAAGGGAAATGTTGAAGATAGTCTGGCGCTGTAAGGTGTAAGACACCTTAGATGGACCATCGGTAGGAGACACCACTTTGCCTTCCAGCCCATCTTCATGCTCATCAAACTTCCGTTTTCCTCCTTTCCCCAACATATATCTGAAAAAGAAGAAGAGAAATATTGACTAGGATAGCACTCTCCACCGAAATTGTAGGCACTCTAGTTCAGTCTATTCCAACCTGAAGCCTTTGACATGTGTTAGATATTTTTCGCTTCAGCTGTAGTCCCAACATATTGGAGAAAACCAGATATAGGAAGTTGGTTCACAATCATCTTAAGAAGACACAAAGAAAACAAATCCAAGTATTGTCAATCTATTTATCTTGCCTTCAAAAAAAGGCTATTTAATCTACCCTGTCAATTGCAACCAAATAGCGAACTGGAAACTGAACCACGGTTGTAATCTCACAAAAACTGGTTGATGATAGAGATAGATACAAAAGCATCATATTATTAACAGAGTAGCAGTAATTCTGCACATTGTTATCTCGGACCAATCCTAAGACTTTATATTCCAATTCATCAGGACTCTTATTCTAACTCATAGCACATTTTTTTTTAAAAAGGATCACATGGTCAGAAATGGGTAACTCACCCTGCATTTCAGATCCCTTTGCTACCAAGCAATTTAACAAAAGCAGATCTTTTTCCTGAAAGCCTGCCAAGCAGGAAGAAATAGGAATATATGAGAGGTAGGTATGTAGAGAAGAAGGTGTAAATGGGATGTCAAAGAAAAACAAAATGTATAACTGCTTCCTTTTTTGGCTTTAGTATGAAGATTCATTATTTTTTTTAAATTTAAATTAGAGTTTAAACTTGGCTTTTGAATGATGTATTGAGGGGCTGCACTCCAAAAACCACAGAAAGGGCCATAGACTTGGTTTCCTATGAAGATTACTTCCTAACCCGGAAGACTTGGTTTCCTATGAAGATTACTTCCTAACTTGGTTAGAAAGTAAAATAGACTTGGTTTCCTATGAAGATTACTTCCTAACCCGGCTAATAATTGTCCTCTTTAAATTAAATAACATTAAACATTAAAGTAGCTATTTAGCAACATGTTTTGAAGGTGGCAATCAATATTTTCAAGGGCTACTTATAACTTTAGGGCTCCTTCTCTACCATTTGCTTTAGCTTCTCCTTCCTTAGCACATCCTCCCTGTCCCCAATAAATTACCTTCAAGGGCTAAGTAGAAAAGACACACCCATCCAGGAGGTCAGTAAAAATAATAGCAATAACAATAGCACTTAGACCAGGGGTGTCAAACTGCCGGCCCACGGGCCGGATGCGTCATGCCGAAACCGCACCCACCCCATTGTCGGCAATGGAAAAAAAGTCGCGATACGTCGTGACACGTCACGTGACGCTGCGAGTTTGACACCCGACTTAGACTTATATACTGCTTCACAGCCCTCTCTAAACGGTTTACAGAGTCAGCATATCACCCCCAACAATCTGGGTCCCCATTTTACCAACCTCGGAAGGATGGAAGGCTGAGTCAGCCTTGAGCTGGTGAGGATCGAACTCCTGGCAGTGAGCCGAATTAGTCTGCAATACTGCATTCTAACCTCTATGTGCCACCACAGCTTTAATACAATGGCACTCGTAACTATTGTATCAGTTAGTGATGTCAATGTATTCATAAATAATTGCTAATTAAAAACCACACCCCTGTGACCCTCGCAAGAACAGAAATGCTCAAGAAGTTCAAATCCTGAAATGCAAAATGAAACATGAGAGTCCATCTGAATTGGTGGTTTTCTTGAATATCACACAAGAGCAAGAGCAGGAAATGCCTTTCACATTATGGCCACATGTCAGAGCCAGCTACAGTGTGAGTGTAAAATAGCCTTGAAGGTTCCAGGCCTGGCCCATTTCTGTATTCCTCCCATCAGTCTTTAACAAATTGCTCATGTAAAGTGAAGGAATTTTCCAGCTCTGAAAGTTAGAGAGAGAATGCTGGGCTGAACCTGGTTTCTATTAAGACAGCTGGAGTTTTTCTGTGGTGATTATGGAATGGGGTTTCTTTTTCTAGCCTGGTTCTGCTAAAACTGCCTATCAATGTCCCATGATATCGAAAGAGTCCCTATGCCCCTCCCTAGCCTCAGGATGACAAATACTGGGGAAACTGGCAAGGATGTCCCCTGAAACAATAGGCACCTCAAAAACAATCCATGTGAACATCCATCACTGAATTAATTCTAAACTATTAGTGGACATGCAGGTTACAACACTAGGAGTTACCTGGGGATTTTAGGTTCTTCATGTTCTTTTGTATATAGCACACAAAAAGAGGACTATGTTGTAGTCTCTTAAAAGCTTACAGGGACAGGTCTGCTTTGTACCACAACACCCATAACCAGCAGGTGTTTAATAGTAAGTTTATAACAAATACACAATGCCTAACAACTTAAAAGGCTGTTGAGTCCTTGGTATTCTCTGAGTTTGGTCGTTTTTGTGCATACATTTCATCATCCAGCTAGGAAACGTTTTCAGTGCTGGAACTGGGGCTAACACCCCAGAACCAATGAAAGAATCCATAGCAGCAGTACCATGTAACATACCCAATCTAATCAAAAACAGTAAGATCTTAATACCCAGTAAGATCTTAATACCCAGAATCATAGACCTTCTCCTGCTTCACTATCTTCTTTCAGTTTGATATGCAGATATATCAATAAATCAGAGGAACACCTATGAGATCAGTATTCTTATCTTAGGACAACAGTAGTAGAGATATGCAACAAGTCTCTTGAAACTATAATACTCCACACATACAACCCAAAGCATGCATCCAGTATGTAGATGACACTTTTGTCATATTAAAAAAGAAACAACTAGAAAAGATACAGGAACAATCATCATATTCAAAGGAATAACATTCATGGGAAAGAAGAAAACACCACCACACTACACTTCCTGGATATCCTCATCAGCAGAGGAAATGGTGGCAAATTAGAAACACAAAATCTATCATACAACCACCCACCCTGACCAAGTGGTCCACCTCAAAAATGCTAGCAGTGACAATGTTTCCTAGCCAGGTAATAAGCATCTTCATGAAAACAATCAAGCTCAGAAAGCATCAAGAATATCACAGTTCAACCCTGTGCTACAGACATTCTTTTCTATTGGAACTTAAAAGGCATACAACATGCATGATTCTGAATTACTTGCCTACCTGCCTAGCTGAACCCTGAGTTGCTTTCCCATCTCAAATACAGCTGCCTACTTCATATGTGGTGGAATGTTTCTTAAGCTCCAACTATCACAGCTAGAACCCCTGGGCTGTGAAGTTTTTTTTTTAAAAAAACTATCTCAACTGAATAAGGTACCTCAACCTTGGAACTGCAGCTGTAAAAATTCTCTCTGGAATTATTCCAACGCAGAAAATACAAGCACGCACAAAGCATTCCTTCAACTGCACACACCCGCACGTAGAATAGAAATGAAAATAATTATGAAATTGCGAACCTGATAGCATATAAGAAATACAAAAGGCATATTGCAAGTAGAGGGGGAAATAATAAGGATATTGTAACTCAACTGTAATATTTTTAGTACTATTAATTTTGTTGAGACTGTCTATAGGCTTCTTTTCCATTAAAAACTCTTCACAAAGCAATTTATAAATTAAACATGCAAAAAGCTGAGTCAGTGCAATTGAAACAACAAATAAAAAATAACATCCATTCCAAAGATCTGGGGCTCTAGGTGTTGAACATATTTTACTACTCTTATGGTGGATATAAAAAAAACCTCAAGATTCTAATTCTATCATTTAAGCAAATTCATACAACATGATATTCCTACAATCTTCTTAATATTTCTAGAAATCAAAAATAGTGTCAGTTATAGATTTGGACTGGCTTGTCCATGCTCTGTTCACTCAGTAGAGTAATAACAAGCTTCACAGAGTAGAGAACCAAAAATCTACTTTATAAACCTAAGGCATTTTAGACTAGGACAGCATTAAGATATTACAGTACAGTACAAACCTGTGGGGACCCCTTTACCTTCATTAAAGAAGGTAAAGGGGTCCCTACAGGTTTTACCCTGCTACCCTGACTTTAAGGGGCTCTGCTCATTTCCATTTCTTAAGCCAAAGAGCCAGCATTGTGGCCAGCAGGACATCACTTTGCAACACAGAGCATACAGCAAAACATGGAACGCTATTGCCTTTCTATATGTTTTTATTAGAAATAATATTCCAATTTTACTCTGGGGCTAGATGTGCTCAAAGTAGTTCAGGGTGCAATTGATCTACATTATAAATTTCTATTCTACCTGAACAAATCAGATCCTGCCATGCATGACCAGTTAAAGATGTTGGATGTTATGTATCATTGGTACCAAGTTCTCATCGAGTCAATGATTGGAATTTCTGCCATCCTGTTCTGCAAAGAACTTATAACTAAGAAGCAACTGCATTATTGAAAAATATCATAGGTCTCCTGCAGAACGTTGTGTAAATAAATATATGAGGGTATAATAAATAAGGCATCAGTGCGCATTTAGCATGATGGCACAGAAAATGTTTTTGAGTTCCATAACTTTCTGCTACCTACCCAAAACTTAATCAAATTCTTATTTAGGTCGCAAAATGAACCACAATGTCAATAATTAAATAATTAATTAAATACTTGTTATGCCCAAAATGTTTGTTTTCCTTTTCTTTCCCAAAGTATTCAACTACTGCTTCCTTTGTTTGTTTCCTGAATATTCAACATCAGGACCATGCTTTAAAGCTGGAGCTGCTTTGCCACTAGCTTTTTGCAAAAGTTGGAGTTCATTCTTGGAGAAAAAGCAAAGTGCATGAAGTTGTCTTTCCTCACACATTAGAAATGCTATTTATAAGGAGTGAATAGAGCGACTAAAGATAAGATGCTGGGCCCACAATCAAAATTCACTTGAGTCAGAAAAGAAGTGTGGTAAAATAAGGGCACTTTCTTGTTTTAAAAGAGGACAAGGGTTTTCTTATAATTTACTCCCTTGTCTCTTCACAGGATCATAGTAAATCAGGATCCTATACAAATAACAGTATGAGTTTAAAAACAGGCTCAGCCAACTAGCAAAAACAATTGATATTGAATTTGG